AAACCAATGCAATATGTAAAATGAAACGCTGAAAATTCCATGCTGTAAATTGTTATTGTTGTGGAATAAAGTGATTATTATTATTATTATTATTGATGAAGGTCTGTCATTTGTTCGAAGTGACCTTCGTGACACGGCGCTTGAAAAGTCTCTGGTCCGTATAGGAAGCAGCACTGACTGGCTTCACATTTGAGTTGAAAATTCGGGTCTTATCTATCATACTGTTGATCTCCTCCACACAGACTTGAGAGTAATGAAAGCTTTCCTTGCTTTCCCAGGAGGAAATACATATGAATCGGACATACACCGAAGAGATATTCAAGTGACAACACACTTTTCAATGGAAGCCGAATAGGCAGCGATGTGTCAGGTGTTGGTCCGACAGTGAGATTGTGGAGATGATGTGGTGAAGAGGAAATGACAGTCTACAGGAGATTTCCGAGTCAGCTCGAAAAGACCAAAGAAAGCAGGAGTGAAATGTGGATGTACTGCTGAAGGCTTATGTTCCTCTCATAACACAACAGCGAATGATAATAAGTTCCAATGCCTATCATAAATTAAGCTATTCTCAGTTATGCGCATTCGTTACGGATAGCCCCAGAAAGAATGGAGTATTTTGTTAGGCATAAATTCAATCTCTTTCGATAAATAAGGAAAAAGACACGTATATTTACACTCATGTGTATTACGCTTATCACGCTTGAAATCTATTCATTTGTTTAAAAAAAATATTTTCTTAATATTTTTGGTTGCCATCTGTGAGGATGACTTGCAGGCGAAAGCCAACAAACTGGCTGAAGAGGCAAGCACGCAGCCAAGACAGGACTGACTCCAGGTAAACATAGAGAAGACGGAGGTGATGAAGATAGCCAACCGACCACCACCAAGAACAACAGAAAAAACAACCAGCACCAATCACCATCAACGGGAGAGATTTAACAGAGGTTAGTTACTTCCTTCACTTATCTGGCTAGGAAACACGGTTTCAACCACAGGCCGGCGGAACAGATGAAGATGTCAAATCTGGCCAGCCAGTCAGAATCAGAAAGGGAAGATATGCCTTCATCAGCGAACCTGAAACAAGTTTGGAAATATTCTCCAACTAACTCAGTCAGCAGCATAGAGAACAATATTCAGATTTTCAACAGAAATGTAAAGTCAGGAACTTGTGGTACCTGTCACGAAAAGGACTTCCAACAAGTTACAGACATTTATCAACATCTGCCCACTTCGCTGGCTGGCTCCATATACTGAAGATCAAATGGGCAGCCGGAAAGAATTAGAAACAAGGAACTATAGCTGGGAACAAACCAACAGGCGAGAGCCAATCGCTCAAGAAATATGTAGTAGAAAATGGAGATGGATTGGACGGGCAACACGCTGAGGAGACCGTCAAATGACATGGTACTCAATGCAGGTGATCGCTCGAGTGGAAGCCCAATGGGAAGCGACGAGTGGGTCTTCGGTGCGAGGGCGACATGAATGAGATGGTTTGAGGAGGAGGAGGAGGAGGAGTAGGAAGAGCTGATGAGAGATAATGGGCAATCGTGGAGCTAGCCGGCTGATGAGGACAGCAGGAGATAAGACAAAGTGAAGATGTGTTGTTGAAGCCAGCCAGCCATCCCTATGTTCCACTTGGAACTCAAGAGAATAATGATAATTTCGCTATACAGAGATATCGAATTCCAAATAAATATTTCTTTACCAAATCTCTTGACCTCTACTGTTACACTACTCATTTTCTTTTTTTTTTATTCCTTTCCGTTCTGAGTGGAACATTATGGCTTCAAGCTCGGGCTTTGAAATTTCAGTAGCATTAGTTTTATTTTTGCGGAGATGGTATTGTTAGCCTCATGCCCACTTTTCCGTCATTAATGGGTTTACTACTGGCTAAATGACGACTAGAGGTCTGTCGGCAGGGGGATCGAATCCCAGGCAACCTGTGTTGTTGACTGCCATTACTATTTGATATGAATGTCATTTATCTACTTATATCAATCAATCAGTAGTATATTACATTTATGCATTAGTTAAAGAACCATTGGAAATCATGAAATGCTGAACAGCTGATTCACTCCCATAGAGTTTGTTACGCTTTATAAGTGAATATCCACAAACCCGTTCTGGACTGAAATTAAGACCTTTAGGTTAACTAGTTATGCATTCAGCCGTAGCACATTGAAAACACTGATTCTCGTCCGATCACTGAAGTTAAGCAACGTTGGGCCCGGTTAGTACTTGCATGAGTAACCGGTTGGGAATACCGGGTATTGAAGACTTTTTGAAATGATTATTGGTCCAAATGGTGGCCTTCTTGAATCACCGGGCAGCCTGAATTTTCATCCGAGACAATGCATCTTACTTTTCTTTAGTTCTCGCTGTTATAATCATCATTCTGTTATATCCCGTGCGGTGCCGCAGCTAAGGCTTTTCGAATGCTATGGGCACTTCGAAGGGCTTTCAAACTATTAGACGAGGGTATGTTCCAAGTACTCTATGCAACATACGTCAGGTCTCATCTAGAGTACTGCATACAAGCGGCGAGTCTATGCTTCAAAAAGGAGGCATATACTCTGGAAAGAGTACAGAGGGTAGGAACGAAATTAGTTAGTGGTATCTCACACCTTCCTTATGACATGAGGATGGAGCATTTAAATATCTTTCCGTTATCATACCGAAGGAGGAGAGGCGACTTAATTTTAGCTTACCATATATTCAAGGGTGATCTAGGGATTGTCCTTTCAAACCTTTTCTCTCCCTCTGGGATACATTTGCGTGGACACCAGAAGAAGGTGCTCAAGCCGAGGTCGAATAAAATACGTTTGAAGTTTAGATTCTCTCACAGAGTGGTCAACGAATGGAGCTCCTTGCCTGATTCAGTAATAACAGCTCCATCGGTGAACGCTTTCAAAGAGAAGTTAGATCTCTGCAGAGATATATATCGCGAGGATTAACATAGGCAACAAGAGCCTTCTACCCTTGTAATCTGAATCTGGTATCCAAATGTTCTACTGGTGCATATTTTTAATTGGTTAGCAGCCCTATCGTTGAGCATTTCTGTGGGACCAAAGAAAAACACTGCAGGGGATTATTTTATTCATCAGATCTGTAGCGGCAAATAATTCCCCAAAATTATTGACCACAGCAATCATCACTGAACATTGGATGCTGACCCTCACTGTTTAAGTCAACTTGTTTAGCTGAAGGCTTCCGGTCAAGCATCCATGCCATCTGGTACTTCGTCGTGTCACGTTCATGCACGATCACTAGCCAGCTAAGCATTCACCTCAGTTCACGATTTGGTCCCAAAATATATCTCGTAGTTTGGACTACCCAATACTGTCTTTTGCTTTGCCTTTGGTACACGAGGAACGAATACTATAGAAGTTGTTGGTATTAGATCTTGCGTTAGTATACTCCGTACAATTCGCGAACGTCGATACTGTCAGCCTCTAAAGATCTAACATCACTGCGTCACATGATGTACTGCAGACGGCTGTTTTACTTGAAACTCGTCGAGGAATCGAAAATATTATGCTATAAAGTACGCTGAAAATTGTGCACATTGTGTAAACTTATTTTACATAATAAAGCTATTGTTTTACTGTTATTAGGTTGGGATCCAGGGAATAATAAAGTTTTTGTTGTTGTCGTTGCGGTTGTCTCAGTTACATCTAACTCCTGTGTGTCTATCTCAGTGTAGGGGAATATTTCCAAGTGATCAGACGGCTACAGTGTCGTGACTGGAGGCTCATTCTAGTCAGCATAAACAACAATCAACAAGTCGCTAACGGCTGTTTCGTCCTATTTCTTTGGCAGTACGCACCCTTCACCGCGGTTCGAACCCAGGACCTTCTGGTTACAAGGCTAGCGAGCTCGTAGACCATTCAGCAGCCACTCAGACCCAATCCAATGGCCGACCCTTGAATGCTAACTTATGCCAATTCTATATGTATCTACCAGTTTGTCTGCAGCTGCGGAGCCAGCTACATTGGGCGTACAATTACGCAGGTTCATTGTCGTATTTCCGAACATCATCCAACATAGTTAAGCAAGGGACAAACAAGATCGATTCGTAACTAGCTCTATTTTAGCACACCTTGTAGATAGTGAGCATAAGGTTGACGTTAATACAGCATTTAAAATTATCTATCGCATTCCTACTAATCATAATTTTACTTTACGAGTTCGTCTTCTACAGACAGCTGAAGCAATCGGAATCCACCTGAAGAAGCCAAACCTGTGTGTGTTCAGAAGAAATTTGTACAGCCACTTTCCTTACAGTGGCCATCGTTACAAGAATGCACAAAGAGGACTACGTCGCCCCCCTCCCCCTAAACCTATACAAATTATAATTGTCCAAATTATTTTATTTTTATTTTGACCACTTCATCTTTAATTACGTGTTATCCTTGTAAAATTAATTTATTCTAACCATTTCTACCTTTTAAATGTGTATTGATTTTCTTCGTTTATTATCAACCCATTGACATTTTGACACTGTTTAATTGTTGTTAACAAACGTATCGCCACTTGATTGGTAAACTGTTTTGTATTGTCATAAAAATGCTATACTTGTATATTAGAGTAGAGCCAGAGATGAGGATCTAATTGAAAAGTAAATATTTCTTCGCTGAATCTTTCTGTTTTCTAAATGTCTAAATGGGGATTTTCTCTATATTCAATTCCTGATATGGCGCAACTGGCACTAGCCAATGAATGTCACCGGTGACGAGTATTTGTCCTCATACCCGACCTGCTATACCCCACTACAGGTCATGACTTCTCATTAGAACGAAGGTAACCGAAAGTTCCCGACTTCGAACTCTGGCAGTGGGTGCGTGCTGATGAAGAGTCCAAAACAAGGACAAAACACACGTCCAGTACTCCTTAGCTGGTTCACAGTAGTTCTTGAACGGATGTCAGCTCATAATGAAATCCTGTAACCAATTAAATCAAATCCCCGCCAACTAACACTGGAAATGACTAACACTCAGTTATAACAGTTTTATCAGAATGAACATCTACCCAAGAAAGAGAAAAAACAATACACATTTCAAAAACATGCTGTACAGTAAATCAACTATTCAAACAATTCAGTATAATACAATAAAAAGAGTATACAGGGAAAATGTAAAACAACTCATTGAAGAAGTAAGTAACCTAATCAATATAATCTAAGCAATAAGTAATCCTTCTGAAGTGACTTGTTGTAGTAAATTATACATTTTCCGTTCAGCTTGACGTCTTTTCTCTTCCAGCTCATCGTCTTTTATCTTTCGAGCTGTATCGATGAGTGGTTCAGCATATTGAGGATCTTTACTTGGATTACAGACACCAGTTGTCTCTTGTTTCACATGACGCAATGATGTTGTCTCAAGTTTCTGTATAATATAAGAGTAATAACAAAAAAGAATAACAAAATTTTGTTGTGTTTCTTCTAAATACGCAAATGAGAACTTGAAAATTATTGAAATTGTCTGAGAAACGTTTTGTGCTGAAGATCCTAAATGAGTATCTGAGTCAGTGTGGTGAAAGCTAGCTGCAAGCCAAAAATTGTAGACAACAATTTACGTCAATGTTCATGTTCCGAATCAGGGTCATGAGAAAAACAATAACAAGGCAGAACCTTGAAGAACTCATCAACCAATCACAGCACACTTACCATGTGCAAGTACGATTTGCAGATGAATGGCTTTACTTTCTGAGAAACAGTCGCAAGCGGTACAGAATAACCTTCAGCAAGAAAACAACCAATCAGAAGACGTTGCTTCTCTGCTAACAATAATGCTAATATAAATGCACATAAAATCTATAAATATCTGTTGATTTTCTGAATAAACGATCTGTTGCCTGGCCCTTGTCTTCTGTCGCTAAAACAGAACAAGTTTCAGTGAATCGAAGACATCTATAGACTTTATTCATGAATGTATCGAGACAGACCACTTCTCTAAAAATGACTGGAAATCGTTATTTCATTCTAGAGTACAACCAAACGCAAGAATATTTAATCGTCATGTTCTCAAGCAGATTGACTCTTTTTGAAATCATGTGTCACTGAGTTGACAAAGAATATTTATAGAACACGATTTAACCAAGGAAATACATATTTTCGGGAAATACTCATCAGGCTTACAACATTTACACAATGACGAAATATTAGTCATACGCCTTCGAAATCACGTGGTTGATGAATTATCAAGGATCAGAGTTCAGGGATGTGAACTAGTCGATAACAATCGATGTGATCATCGTCATCGTCATAATAATAACAAGGATAAATTCATTCAAGTGTTTATATAATCTAGGTAATGGTGAGTGTGCAGGTAGAATGTGTATACTAGCAGAGGTAGAGGGGAAAATAACTGTTGCCACTCAGCGATTTCGCAAATGATACATGTCTGGCATATGTTCAGGAGGCTGTCGAATGACATCGATCTCAATGCAGGCCATTGCTCGAGTGGAATCCCAATGGGAAGCAACGAGTGGGCCGTCCTAGGGTGACATGGCGGAGATCATGTGAGGAAGAGATGAGAGAGTTTAGTCAGTCGTGGAGCTAGCCAGCTGAAGAGGACGGCAGGAAACAGAACAAAGTGCAGATGTGTTGTTGAAGCCAGCCCTATGTTCCACTCGGAACCCAAGGGAATAATAATAATAAGTGGATCTTGGAGATTACGCGAAGAGTGGATGCTTCTTCTCCACTACTGACAATGACCTTGAGCCATATCATCAACAATCTTCAGTCATTGGTTTTTAGCATTTCCATGACGAAAGCCAAGCCACTCCTCACACCTCCATAGGTTGCTCAAACCACCAGTCAAAGACTTCGTTGGTAGACACCAGGTATGGATTTCATCATCCTCTCTAACTCTTTTCCAATCCAATATGATGTCAGCCAATATTACTCGTCAAGGAAGCTGATGACTTTGTATGAGTAAATCGTAACCTAGCCATCTTGATCGATATAGTTTCAAAACCTTATCGATTGATTTTCCCTCCTTACCTACTAACAGTTTACGTATAATCTTAACATTACTTACGATATTTTACCATTTAACACCAGAGATAGAATGTTAACATCTATTTTCAAGAGTTGGTTTGTGAGGATCGAATCTGTTTTTACTAGTTCGACCAGTGAGGTCCAACCAGTCAAGTGTGAGGATGGATTTTCCACCGATGACATTGGTTGGTGACGCTAAATCACCAATTGGTAGAATTCAGAATTCGTGGGCTAGCCATTGAATCGGGTCGGGTCCCAGTGGCTGGATGGTCTACGAGCTAGCTTGCCTTGTAACCGGAAGGTCCTGGGTTCGAACTCCCTGTGGTGGGTGCGTACTGCTGATGATTCCTGAACCAGGATGAAACAGCTGTCCAGTACTCCAGTGCTGGTTTTCAATGGTTCTCTAACTGATATCAATTCGTGGTCAAACTCGTAAATATCTATGATCAACGCCAATTTCTCTCTTCCTGTGACCATATCTTGTAGTCATCAAGGAGGATAGAACGAACTACTGTGCAGTACACACGTCGTTCCAAGTGTTTGAAAATACTTGTCAATTCATATAATAACACGTCCGATGGATCAACTAACATAATGATACACCTATTGAATATTATGCAAAACAGAGTTCGAAACTTCAAGGTGATTTTCAAGTGAGAAAAAATTTCATTTGTATTGAACAGTTTAGTTGTCAGTGTGGTGGGGGGGGGTTGGGTGAAAAGTAGGTGCAGTTAGAAATGAAAGCTTAGAGGTTATAAAATGTGAAAAATATCAATAAAATAAATGAGTAATTACTTGTGGGAATTTATTGCAGAAAACATTTTTCCACATCTCTAGCGGTGATTTCACTGTCAAACATTTTATTTCCATATCTGAACTTGGTGGTACCCCTGTAATTTATGAAAAGAAAAGCAACACATGTCGACACATTAGAATACATTCGATTTGAATACTTTTAAGAAGACAGTGTATATTCAGTGAAAAGATTGTTTTTAATAAAATTCGTTATCAATCGTATAAATAAACGATTAGGCGTGTTTCTCGTCTGATTTCAGAGAACATCACCCTGCTTGGTGGTTAAGTAAAGGACAAACAAAATCTATTCATAGCGCTATTCTATCTCATCTTGCGGATACAATGGAACACAAGATTGATGTCAACGAGGCAGTTCTCAAAGTCATCTACCGCATACCAACAAATCTTAACTTCGTCTTAAGAGTTCGTCTACTAAATATTCCTGAGGCTGACTATTGGGATCCACATTAAGAAGCCTAATTTATGTGTCCAAAAGAAGCTAGTTCAGACACTGTCCTTACCACTTGACCATCTAGGTTTCAATGAACCTCATTTTTTGTTGAATTTTCCTTAATTTTAGTTGATATTCTATTTGCTATTATATTTTTATTACTGTTATAATTTAGGCATCTTTAGTGAACTGTGGTGATTCCATTGTGATTTTACTTTACTAATCGATATTATTTAAAAAAACACTAATATTGTTATCGACTACTATTCTAAAATATTGTATGTATATGAAGATATATATATATATATATAATTGTAGAGTGGGAAGAGGAAATTATCGAAAAGGATATTCTTTTCTCAATTATTTTGTTTTTTATAGATGTTTGAATGAATATTTTCGCTATATTGAAATATACAATTGTTAAGGAATTGTATTCTGCAGCCAATGAATGCTTTCTACACGGATATGAAAGCCCATTCCAGCATGTTAGATGGTTGGAAGCAAACGTCAGGAAGCCTTGGACCTAGTTTTTGTTTTAGTTGGCACTCACCAGTCAGCAAAGCGTTTCTGCAATCATGAAGGAACTCATATCCCTTCTGAGATTCGAACCTGTGCCACCCAGTGAGTACTGCAGTTAGAGACGTTACCGCTGAGGAGCTATTCGAGCTGGCGATCGACCTCCTGTAGGACTGTATTGGATATTTTTGATTGGAAACTAGTTAGTAACTAGTGTAATGTGTCTAGTCTTTTTTTGGTACAGACTGAATTCTATCAGTCAAGTGCCAACTAGCACGAAACTTAGGTCAATCAAGGCTTCCTGCCGATTGCTTCTCACCGTCTAATATTGACAATTCAGAGTGCACTGTGATGGCGAGTTATATCACAAACTTGACTGATAAAATCCAGTCTGCACCAAACAAAAGACTAGACACATTACGCTAATGTCCAGTCAAAATATTCCAGAATGGTTTCGCAAGAGAAGAAGAAAAGAATGTGGGAAGCTCTATCCTGGAACACTTGATCAACTTCTGTCACTCAGCCTACCCTCACAATGATTCTAAGATCATCTATCAGCTCCATGGTAACTTGCCGTGTTTTCTTCGTTTTGAACTGAACAATGCAGGCCTTGACTATTCATTCATTTAAGCTGAACTTTTGTGTACAAAAAGAAGTAGGTATAGTACCTGCTTCTGCCTTGACCGTAGAACAGAAAAGAGGGCGGGGGGAGTTCACTAATTTTGATCCGACTTTTCAATTAAGTGAAGTGGTCAACACGCTAAGCGACCACTTTGCTTCCTGTCTTTAAGCTAGCAGTCGGTGTACACCAGTCCTGGAGCATTATATTATATCTGATTTTAAAGAATAGCATCCCAGATATTCGAAGATTTCTATCTTAAGGTGTTCAGAAGACTCCACATTTTGTCAGTATCTTCATCTAGAAGGGCAACAACATCATCATCCACATACTCCAAGTGAACGAAACTGTCCCCTGGTAACTGGCTGGCTGGATTCAACATAGAACTTGGCACCGAAGTGCAGCAGTTCCAATTGCCACGTTCCAAATAGCACACAAAGGTAGACAAGACAAGAAGATGAGTGAAGAGAATCAATAGAGTTTTGACAAGTATAAGAGTGAATCAGAATGAGTAATTGTAGAAAGTAATATGAAAGATTACAGAGACTGAATACATCTGCGTAAGCCATTGACAACGATTTTGAGCCATGTCACCTATTGTCTCCAGCCATTGATTCTTAGAGTCCCGAGGGCCCCAACCCAGAAGTCTGCATCTCCCTACCCGACTCAGTTTAACTGTCAAAGAAGGATTTCATGGATTGATTGATGCGATGTTTTTGTTTGGCCACCGCTTACTCTTTTCCAACCTGCACCTATATCAGCTAGTAATGCCCGTCGGGGTGGGGGAGGCGATGGTTAGGCATGAGCAGCACGTGACCTAGCTATCTCAATTATGTAACTTTATAGCCTCGTCGATTGATTTTCCCTCTTTGCCCAACACTCTACGCCTGACGTGAACATTACTTACCTTATTATACCACCTAACGTGAGAAAGAGATCGTAAACATCTGTGGTCAAAAAAAGACAACCTTTTCATGTCTTCAACTCGTATTGGCCATGTTTCAGAGCCATAGAGAAGGACGGAGCGAACTGCTGAGGAGCAGTCCCCTGGTAACTAGTAATCAGCGTCATATTTATTAGTACATCTGAGATGAAATCAAACAAAAATGAGGATAATTCAGATCAATTCATGGAAACTGCGTTGATTATCGTTATAGGAAGAGGAAAAGATAGTCTGTGATAAGTCATAGATCCATCTAAGGAAAACGATACAGAACAAAATGGAACGGAGATTTGTTGTTGAAGCCCTGTATTCCATGAACAATAATACCAATAATTATAAAATACAGTTACACTCTATGAGTGTCAGATAGTTAGTATACCTTTTCACTTGATCAACTATCTTTAAAATCTTTTTGTCTACTGAATAAATCATATGGATAAGAAAATAATTGAACATTTAAAACTTTCAAATGTTGTTAACAGATTTCAATAATCAGTTAGATTGTTGCAACATAGCGAAATGTGTGACAATGTGCATAAGGCACACAAGTGTCAGTGCATACGACACAGATTCAGTTTCATACAGATCTTTGTGTCATAGTAAGTTATGGTCAATAAACATGGTACATTATAATGCAGTGGCAACTTTCTGCTTTGGATCCTTATGCTGCTGCTGCTGCTGGATTCAACATAGAACTTGGCACCGAAGTGCAGCAGTTCGAGTTGCCACGTTCCAAAGAGCACACAAAGGTAGACAGGAAAATGAGAGAAGAGAATCAATAGAATTTAGATAAGTATAAGAGTGAAACAGAATGAGTAATGGTAGAAAGGAATATAAAAGATTACAGAGACTGAATACATCTGCGCCATTGGCAACGATTTTGAGCCATGTCACCTATTGTCTCCAGCCATTGATTCTTAGAGTCCCGAGGGCCCCAACCCGGAAGTCTGCATCTCCCTACCTGACAGACTCAGTTTAACTGTCAAGGATTTGATGGATTGATGAGGCCATGTTTTTGTTTGGCCACCACTTACTCTTTTCCAACCTCCACCTATATCACCTAGTAATGCCCGTCGGGGGAGACGATGGTTAGGCATGCGCAGCACGTGACCTAGCCATCTCAATCTATGTAACTTTATAGCCTCTCCGAGTGATTTTCCCTCTCTGCCCAACACTCTACGCCTAACGTCAACATTACTTACCTTATTATACCACCTAACGCGAGAAAGAGATCGTAAACATCTGTGGTCAAAAACAGACAATCTCTTCATGTCTTCCGCTCTCAATGGCCACGTCTCACCGCCATAGAGAAGGACAGAGCGAACTGCTGAGCAGTATACACGTCCCTTTGTTGACAGCCGGATGTCACGCCTACGCCAGAGACGGTGTAAGTTCCTTATGATCCTTATGATCAATATGTCAAGTGTTTACTAGAATCATCAGTGGAATATTTACCACTTTATAAACATATTTGATAAATTTTAAACTAGAAAACTGCATCTAGTTGCCCTTGCTTAAAACGGGAGTCATATATTCTGGAAACAGTTCAAAGGAAGACCACATATTTGTTTCCTGGCATAACTAATTTATAAAATGATAAAAAACTCAAAGGTTTGAAATTTCTTCTTTTCATATCGTAGACATAGAGGAAATCTGATCAACATATTCATCATTACTAGGTTGAAACACCTTTGAACTTATGACAAGACAGTTCAAAAGTGAAGGAGCAACTCTGTTGCTCCGGAGTACCCTTGTGGTGGTGTGATACAGACGACGTGTTTCAATGGAATATTATTCGCACATATTCCCACAGTCCACTGGTGTATTAGCAACAGAATACGTTATATCTATTTGAAAATTCTATTTCATGTCGTTTAATGTAGACCGAAACTACATGGTTACTGATTGGTTAAAGAATATAAACTGTATATATATAAATAGCGGTTTGATCAATTGAAAATATACCTTGGCTTCCGTGTCTTGCCTTCTGCTGTTACACTATTTCTCTAACTGAGTAATTAACTCGCGAGACAAACTTTCAGAAGTGATCTTCAGTCCTTCAACCGACTCTTCCAAGATGTTAGACAAACAATTATTGGAAAGAGGATGAGCATAATCTTAAAGCCTTCTATCCTCAACCAAACATCTGAATCTGCAAAGTAATATTACGTAGTGTTAAGTTTGTAGTAATGCCTTTAATTTATCATTTGAAAAGCCTAAAACTTGAAACATTAAAGAATATTTCGTAAGTAACAAGGGGATTTCTGGAAAACACAGTTACTCTTGGGCTATAATCCACTAAATAACAGCTTTCACTGAGTTCAGTTGACATAGCGAAAGATATTGTCTGTTCTCAAAGTGCATACAGTCTTGATCTAAAGTGCTTTCCAAAGAGCATATCATACATTTGGAAAGCTTCTTATAATTTAGGTTGGATAGGAATTCGAAAACATGTGAAATGATGCGTAACTCAAATAAGTAGTGGTAATTACCAATGTTTGAGAATGAATCCATACCAACAGGAATAGCTAATGGCTTTCCTGTTTTCATTTGTTCGCTGAATGTTATTTTACCACCAAAAGCGATGTGATTGAGAAGAATCCTCGTCTTTTTGAGCAATTCATCTTCTCTAATAGATGAAAACTGCGACAATTAAAGAAAATATTACGCACTTACATATAAAGATGCCCCATAGTAATGACTCAGAAAACGTATTGTCTTGCTAATTAGATTTTGTTGTTCACTACTGAATTCCTGTAGAAAAGCATATCGTTAATGATTTTACTTACCCTAAAAATGTCATATTTTGTCCCTAAGAATGTAAGAGGTAAGGGAAAAGGATTTAAAAGCTCTACATCTGGATGTGTTGATGAAATCCTTTTTCTCAAATTTTCATTCAGAGTATTCTGAATATGTGTTATGTTCTTTTGTCGAAGTCGACTAAATATTTGCTCGACACGAGAAGAAGCTGATTTCAGTAGATTGTCCACTGTATCCCAAAGTTCTGTAGGCTTTGATAAATCAACAACTAAAATAAGGTGAAGATTCCTTTAAGTAAAGGAAAGTAAGTTTAACAGTGAGGTGATAACAACTAACAGTATGTTGTTGGGCGTGATCAATACATCAATTAGATCTGAAAGTTTTGATCCGCCACCAAGCTCCCATATGTGCGACACAGCTCTAGTCTACATTAGAAATAAGAAATGAAGTAATAACTAGTAACCATATAGTTTCCAGCACCTTTACGTCCAAAAGTATAATCAAGTGCTAAAGTTGGTTTTGGTGTTTCATCCTTTTCAAGGAATCGGTTAATGATTGTACTTTTCCCCTAAACATTGTTTGGAAAGTGAAAGTCGGATGACCATTCGCAACATACAGACTGCCTGTTTCCCGCGAAAATGATCGTAGTCTCTACATTCCCTTGTACTATTTTGTTGTACTAAATAAAATCCTCTGATACATACCTGGCTTGTTTTTATTCTGCTGAACAGCGATATCCCAAACTGACTGCGTCATTTCAAATATTCGGGGTTAGATGTAACCAATCAACGAGACGTTTTAAAAGTACACATCTGATCTTCGATGTTTCAATATTCAATTCTCAAAAAGATTCTCACAGTCTCAGTGAAAGACTGGAATTCCTCCTGCTTAATTACTGAGGATTTTGTTATTTTCAATTCTTTAATGCAGTGTTATTTTGTGCTTTACAAGCTCAAATGATGAGGATTTCCCTTGCAGTTTTTAGAACCCAGACCGAAAAATATCCACGTCTTAATAAGTGGAAGAACGGTCGACTTTATAAACGTTTGTTGAGTTTGATGAAGGCACGTCAAAATTTTTAGCTGCTACTTGAACTTCCCTGTTGTCTGAATACTCACTCATGAGTCTTATAATATATACGCTGCTTGCGATTCATTTCACTTTGCAATATCTAACGCATGCCATATGAAAATTGGTCATGAAAATTCAGCATAACAAGTTCTATTAACTAGCTGTTTTCCTCAGGATCGTTCTACATAACTTTATCATTGGTTGTTCCACCGGTGGTTTCACTCTGCCAAATAAACTATGACCTAGTTGCCTTAAGAATAACTTCTATGAATTATAATTCCTAGTCTTTTGTAATAAATACCTTCACACATGTACGCGTGTATAAAGGTGATACTGCTAAGAATTTCCTGACGTGTCGATGTATCCAGTGACCCATTTAGAAGCATTTGTCGTGGATTCTATTGATGTGCAGCATACTGTATGATTGAGATGGGATCAAAGCAATGCAGTGTTACAACCGCAGTTACTGCAAAACATCTCAGAGCTTATCATCAAAAAAGGAGGGAGGGTGGCGCATGCTGATCAGCAGATATGGCAGTGGTCACAAATGCGAATCGCTCTAATCTGTAGGACAGCAACATGCATTTTTGAAAGCTCGAGAATTTAACATGAGTTTAGATACCTAACAAAAAACAACCATAACTGCACAGATCTAAATTTTTAAAAATTCTTTTACCACTAACATCTACAAGCCTGCTCAGCTTCTTGTCAAGATGCTACCTCATGGGCCCCACAGAAGTTCGTGAAACATCTTACAGGTTAGCTTGTCCTACGGGTTCTAATTCTCCAGATCTTTGAATTCACTCCTCACTGAAATATCACTTATAAACCTCACGATGATCTTTTTATCTAAGCACTATTATACTCTATTCGATCTTAACTACCTAGGCCTTTATTAAAGCTAAACTTACTCTCTGTTGATATTTGTCGCTTGCTTAAATTCTGGTTGCTTTGACGAAAAACACAACAACTCCAATATCTGAACAAAGCTATGTTTTCATCGAAAACGCCATAGTTTCCATGCTTAGACCAATATGGTTAGCGTTAAACATTGCAAATGTATACCGTCATTCCAAGGAGTCTCCACCTCCTTCTTGTATACATCTTTTAAATGTACTTCGAATCATTTGTTATCCACAATTGTCTTATACACCATTTCGCAGTTTACCAGGTCGTTCTCCTCTTCTTGAGATAGCTTTCAGTCACGTGGCGGCAATGCACTTACTCAAATATACGTCGTTCACTGGTTGACCATAACTATCAGCAGGAAACGGAACGCAGTTTGGGTTGTCGCTCAACTTTGATGGTGGACTTAGTGGAGCGTTTACAATTTAACATTTATGAGAACCTGTTTCGATTGCTTGTACAGTAATCGAACAGATTAAGCTTTTGAAAAAGTATTCATTTATGATACCTCACGATTGTAACTTATAAGGTATCTGATCGTGCCTGTAGAAACGGCGTACATTTCTTGTAAACTCGCGGTTTATACGAAATGTAAATTATTATTGGATTATTATGGATCATTTTCTTGTCTTCGTTAGATACTCAATATCATTGTTTGGTCAACTGGGGTGTGATACTGCTGTCTTAAGGGTGTAGTGTCTACATGAATATTTCTAAAAAACCCTCAAGGAAGATGAATATTTGTTTGTTCCCTGTTGTTTTTAATTCTAAACGTACCTTTAAGACATCAAACCGAAACTAACTGAGAAAAATGAAACTTTGGTTGACCTAAAAGGCGACTCGTATCTCACGCATTTTGCCAAACTGTGAAGCATTTCTTGCTGGCTCAAGATGGTTCATGAACAGCCGGATGTAGTATATCAGGTGGTGAGGTTTTCTGACCAGATGCCTTCAGTTTAATATGTGTGCCAGTATAACGACAGAAGACAAGGGCCAGGCAACAGATCGTTCATTGAGAAAATCAAGAGTCATTTATAGATTTTTATGTACATTATTATCAGCGTTATAGCTAGCAGAGAAGCAACGTTTTCTGGCTGGTTATTTTCTTGCTGAAGGGTATCCTATAATACTCGTGACCGTTTCTCAGAAAGTCAAGCCATATGTTTGCGAATCGTATTTGCACACGTTAAGTCTGATTTGATTGTTTGGTGGGTTCCTCGCGGTTAAGCATTGTTATTATTTTTTCTCATGACCCTGATTCGGGACTTGAACATTGACATAAATTGTTTTCTATAATTTTGGCTTGCAGACAGCTCGTACCGCCATAGGATAGAGAAAGTTAATATTGGTTATAGAACAGATTATAACAGAACGCTTTTGAAGAAATTGGAGGAACAGTTTTTAAATAAATAAATAAATAAATTTATTCTCATAGTACAGTACATGAGGGACGCCAGTTTACAGGCATCATCAAATTGTTACAGAAATAGAACCATATAATTCAATCACAATTTACAGGCATTAGCAAGATATGCTTTACATGTTCGCTGGAGATTATACATACACTTGATAAATGTTAATCCCAGTAGTATAAAACAGCCTTTTCACCTATATACAATCATTTCTGTGCAAAGTTGGAAAAATCTGCTAGATTGTCAGTGAGTGCAACACAACAGGAAATACAGGAGTATTGTCTTCGCATTAACAAAAAAACCAGGTCTTTGGTGGATGGATTATAAGTGCCTGGGAAAAAAATAAAGCTTGAAGTAAATATTCATACATAACTTTGTTGTGTGCAGAGTCCTCGAATTATAGTTCATTGATGTGTTATTTTGAAATCAGTGATGTGTTTATCTCATTTGATCTTCAATGTCATTGTTGGGAGTAAGTACATAAGCTTCGGACGCATTAATTAATGGATTTCTACTGCTTGTGGGTATTTTCTTAGTGTGAGGAAGGTTTATGAAATTCAGCTGTTCCGACAGGAGTTGAGAATATTAACTGCTCAGCAACATTATGGATATAAGTTCATCACATTATCTAAGGAAAGGTGGGTTGCAGTTGGTGAGGGATATATGGTGCCCAACGAGCGTTCATCTGTCCATGTGATGTTGTGGTGAGTTATACCTTTTTCATGTTGTCGGTTCATGTCCATTTTATTCCACTTATTGTGTTGGGTAGTAGTTTTACAAACGAGATTTCTTGTCTGTTTGAGGATACGTATCTTAACCGTTAATGTTTTATCTAGAATTATAAATATAGGCAAAAAACAACAAGTGTAGTATTTAAGCTTATACATTAAATGGACCTATAATTTCGGAGGCTCTCAGATAGGAACTAGAACTACTATCGTTTGCAAACTCTTGTAGTTTGTCATTAAGCACCTTTTTGAAGGAGGCCAATGTACTTGCTTGACGCATTTCCATTGGCAGTTTATTCCATATCTGTGCATACCTAATCAAGTAAAACTTTTGCCTGGTGGCTGTTTTACATTGTTCGATAGCTACTGTACCCTTAGTGTGTCTTAGTTTGTAGCCATTGTCATCTGGAAGTCGAGTGCCATTAGTAGAGGTAAAAACTAAGTGGTTTAGAAGCTTATAGTAAAGTGTCAAGTTTAGTCTCAGGCGTCTTAGCCATAGTGTTTCTAGTCCTAGGGTATCACATCTAGTGGAGTAGTTCGTACCATTTTCGGTTCCGAGTAATTTTAACGTGAAGTACCTCTGCACTCCCTCGACTTTCAATTTGTCCTCTATGCGTATGCTACTATACATGAATGAACAGTAATCAAATAAAGGACGCACACAAACCTTGTACAACAGAATTCTAGACTCATTTCTGTAGAAGTTCCTGAGTAGAAAGCCGATAAGTCTGCGTGACTTTGACACTTGTTTGGAGATATGTTCAGAAAATGATAAGTTATGTGAATATTTCAGCCCTAGGTCCGGTACAGATTCCAGTCGTTGAAGTGCATGGCCTTGAATTGTCAGGTCAAGTTCTAAATTGTTGCAACCTATGCAGAGCCAGCCACATTTTTCGACATTAAATTGGAGTTGCCAGGTGTCACACCATCTATCCATTTTTTCTAATTCTTGCTGTATGGCGTTTACTGTTATTCCAAGATCTGTGTTCTTGCATTTATACGTCACTTTTAAGTCATCTGCATATAGTATTGGTTGACATAGCGAAAGATATTGTCTGTTCTCAAAGTGCATACAGTCTTGATCTAAAGTGCTTTCCAAAGAGCATATCATACATTTGGAAAGCTTCTTATAATTTAGGTTGGATAGGAATTCGAAAACATGTGAAATGATGCGTAACTCAAATAAGTAGTGGTAATTACCAATGTTTGAGAATGAATCCATACCAACAGGAATAGCTAATGGCTTTCCTGTTTTCATTTGTTCGCTGAATGTTATTTTACCACCAAAAGCGATGTGATTGAGAAGAATCCTCGTCTTTTTGAGCAATTCATCTTCTCTAATAGATGAAAACTGCGACAATTAAAGAAAATATTACGCACTTACATATAAAGATGCCCCATAGTAATGACTCAGAAAACGTATTGTCTTGCTAATTAGATTTTGTTGTTCACTACTGAATTCCTGTAGAAAAGCATATCGTTAATGATTTTACTTACCCTAAAAATGTCATATTTTGTCCCTAAGAATGTAAGAGGTAAGGGAAAAGGATTTAAAAGCTCTACATCTGGATGTGTTGATGAAATCCTTTTTCTCAAATTTTCATTCAGAGTATTCTGAATATGTGTTATGTTCTTTTGTCGAAGTCGACTAAATATTTGCTCGACACGAGAAGAAGCTGATTTCAGTAGATTGTCCACTGTATCCCAAAGTTCTGTAGGCTTTGATAAATCAACAACTAAAATAAGGTGAAGATTCCTTTAAGTAAAGGAAAGTAAGTTTAACAGTGAGGTGATAACAACTAACAGTATGTTGTTGGGCGTGATCAATACATCAATTAGATCTGAAAGTTTTGATCCGCCACCAAGCTCCCATATGTGCGACACAGCTCTAGTCTACATTAGAAATAAGAAATGAAGTAATAACTAGTAACCATATAGTTTCCAGCACCTTTACGTCCAAAAGTATAATCAAGTGCTAAAGTTGGTTTTGGTGTTTCATCCTTTTCAAGGAATCGGTTAATGATTGTACTTTTCCCCTAAACATTGTTTGGAAAGTGAAAGTCGGATGACCATTCGCAACATACAGACTGCCTGTTTCCCGCGAAAATGATCGTAGTCTCTACATTCCCTTGTACTATTTTGTTGTACTAAATAAAATCCTCTGATACATACCTGGCTTGTTTTTATTCTGCTGAACAGCGATATCCCAAACTGACTGCGTCATTTCAAATATTCGGGGTTAGATGTAACCAATCAACGAGACGTTTTAAAAGTACACATCTGATCTTCGATGTTTCAATATTCAATTCTCAAAAAGATTCTCACAGTCTCAGTGAAAGACTGGAATTCCTCCTGCTTAATTACTGAGGATTTTGTTATTTTCAATTCTTTAATGCAGTGTTATTTTGTGCTTTACAAGCTCAAATGATGAGGATTTCCCTTGCAGTTTTTAGAACCCAGACCGAAAAATATCCACGTCTTAATAAGTGGAAGAACGGTCGACTTTATAAACGTTTGTTGAGTTTGATGAAGGCACGTCAAAATTTTTAGCTGCTACTTGAACTTCCCTGTTGTCTGAATACTCACTCATGAGTCTTATAATATATACGCTGCTTGCGATTCATTTCACTTTGCAATATCTAACGCATGCCATATGAAAATTGGTCATGAAAATTCAGCATAACAAGTTCTATTAACTAGCTGTTTTCCTCAGGATCGTTCTACATAACTTTATCATTGGTTGTTCCACCGGTGGTTTCACTCTGCCAAATAAACTATGACCTAGTTGCCTTAAGAATAACTTCTATGAATTATAATTCCTAGTCTTTTGTAATAAATACCTTCACACATGTACGCGTGTATAAAGGTGATACTGCTAAGAATTTCCTGACGTGTCGATGTATCCAGTGACCCATTTAGAAGCATTTGTCGTGGATTCTATTGATGTGCAGCATACTGTATGATTGAGATGGGATCAAAGCAATGCAGTGTTACAACCGCAGTTACTGCAAAACATCTCAGAGCTTATCATCAAAAAAGGAGGGAGGGTGGCGCATGCTGATCAGCAGATATGGCAGTGGTCACAAATGCGAATCGCTCTAATCTGTAGGACAGCAACATGCATTTTTGAAAGCTCGAGAATTTAACATGAGTTTAGATACCTAACAAAAAACAACCATAACTGCACAGATCTAAATTTTTAAAAATTCTTTTACCACTAACATCTACAAGCCTGCTCAGCTTCTTGTCAAGATGCTACCTCATGGGCCCCACAGAAGTTCGTGAAACATCTTACAGGTTAGCTTGTCCTACGGGTTCTAATTCTCCAGATCTTTGAATTCACTCCTCACTGAAATATCACTTATAAACCTCACGATGATCTTTTTATCTAAGCACTATTATACTCTATTCGATCTTAACTACCTAGGCCTTTATTAAAGCTAAACTTACTCTCTGTTGATATTTGTCGCTTGCTTAAATTCTGGTTGCTTTGACGAAAAACACAACAACTCCAATATCTGAACAAAGCTATGTTTTCATCGAAAACGCCATAGTTTCCATGCTTAGACCAATATGGTTAGCGTTAAACATTGCAAATGTATACCGTCATTCCAAGGAGTCTCCACCTCCTTCTTGTATACATCTTTTAAATGTACTTCGAATCATTTGTTATCCACAATTGTCTTATACACCATTTCGCAGTTTACCAGGTCGTTCTCCTCTTCTTGAGATAGCTTTCAGTCACGTGGCGGCAATGCACTTACTCAAATATACGCCGTTCACTGGTTGACCATAACTATCAGCAGGAAACGGAACGCAGTTTGGGTTGTCGCTCAACTTTGATGGTGGACTTAGTGGAGCGTTTACAATTTAACATTTATGAGAACCTGTTTCGATTGCTTGTACAGTAATCGAACAGATTAAGCTTTTGAAAAAGTATTCATTTATGATACCTCACGATTGTAACTTATAAGGTATCTGATCGTGCCTGTAGAAACGGCGTACATTTCTTGTAAACTCGCGGTTTATACGAAATGTAAATTATTATTGGATTATTATGGATCATTTTCTTGTCTTCGTTAGATACTCAATATCATTGTTTGGTCAACTGGGGTGTGATACTGCTGTCTTAAGGGTGTAGTGTCTACATGAATATTTCTAAAAAACCCTCAAGGAAGATGAATATTTGTTTGTTCCCTGTTGTTTTTAATTCTAAACGTACCTTTAAGACATCAAACCGAAACTAACTGAGAAAAATGAAACTTTGGTTGACCTAAAAGGCGACTCGTATCTCACGCATTTTGCCAAACTGTGAAGCATTTCTTGCTGGCTCAAGATGGTTCATGAACAGCCGGATGTAGTATATCAGGTGGTGAGGTTTTCTGACCAGATGCCTTCAGTTTAATATGTGTGCCAGTATAACGACAGAAGACAAGGGCCAGGCAACAGATCGTTCATTGAGAAAATCAAGAGTCATTTATAGATTTTTATGTACATTATTATCAGCGTTATAGCTAGCAGAGAAGCAACGTTTTCTGGCTGGTTATTTTCTTGCTGAAGGGTATCCTATAATACTCGTGACCGTTTCTCAGAAAGTCAAGCCATATGTTTGCGAATCGTATTTGCACACGTTAAGTCTGATTTGATTGTTTGGTGGGTTCCTCGCGGTTAAGCATTGTTATTATTTTTTCTCATGACCCTGATTCGGGACTTGAACATTGACATAAATTGTTTTCTATAATTTTGGCTTGCAGACAGCTCGTACCGCCATAGGATAGAGAAAGTTAATATTGGTTATAGAACAGATTATAACAGAACGCTTTTGAAGAAATTGGAGGAACAGTTTTTAAATAAATAAATAAATAAATTTATTCTCATAGTACAGTACATGAGGGACGCCAGTTTACAGGCATCATCAAATTGTTACAGAAATAGAACCATATAATTCAATCACAATTTACAGGCATTAGCAAGATATGCTTTACATGTTCGCTGGAGATTATACATACACTTGATAAATGTTAATCCCAGTAGTATAAAACAGCCTTTTCACCTATATACAATCATTTCTGTGCAAAGTTGGAAAAATCTGCTAGATTGTCAGTGAGTGCAACACAACAGGAAATACAGGAGTATTGTCTTCGCATTAACAAAAAAACCAGGTCTTTGGTGGATGGATTATAAGTGCCTGGGAAAAAAAATAAAGCTTGAAGTAAATATTCATACATAACTTTGTTGTGTGCAGAGTCCTCGAATTATAGTTCATTGATGTGTTATTTTGAAATCAGTGATGTGTTTATCTCATTTGATCTTCAATGTCATTGTTGGGAGTAAGTACATAAGCTTCGGACGCATTAATTAATGGATTTCTACTGCTTGTGGGTATTTTCTTAGTGTGAGGAAGGTTTATGAAATTCAGCTGTTCCGACAGGAGTTGAGAATATTAACTGCTCAGCAACATTATGGATATAAGTTCATCACATTATCTAAGGAAAGGTGGGTTGCAGTTGGTGAGGGATATATGGTGCCCAACGAGCGTTCATCTGTCCATGTGATGTTGTGGTGAGTTATACCTTTTTCATGTTGTCGGTTCATGTCCATTTTATTCCACTTATTGTGTTGGGTAGTAGTTTTACAAACGAGATTTCTTGTCTGTTTGAGGATACGTATCTTAACCGTTAATGTTTTATCTAGAATTATAAATATAGGCAAAAAACAACAGGTGTAGTATTTAAGCTTATACATTAAATGGACCTATAATTTCGGAGGCTCTCAGATAGGAACTAGAACTACTATCGTTTGCAAACTCTTGTAGTTTGTCATTAAGCACCTTTTTGAAGGAGGCCAATGTACTTGCTTGACGCATTTCCATTGGCAGTTTATTCTACATCTGTGCATACCTAATCAAGTAAAACTTTTGCCTGGTGGCTGTTTTACATTGTTCGATAGCTACTGTACCCTTAGCGTGTCTTAGTTTGTAGCCATTGTCATCTGGAAGTCGAGTGCCATTAGTAGAGGTAAAAACTAAGTGGTTTAGAAGCTTATAGTAAAGTGTCAAGTTTAGTCTCAGGCGTCTTAGCCATAGTGTTTCTAGTCCTAGGGTATCACATCTAGTGGAGTAGTTCGTACCATTTTCGGTTCCGAGTAATTTTAACGTGAAGTACCTCTGCACTCCCTCGACTTTCAATTTGTCCTCTATGCGTATGCTACTATACATGAATGAACAGTAATCAAATAAAGGACGCACACAAACCTTGTACAACAGAATTCTAGACTCATTTCTGTAGAAGTTCCTGAGTAGAAAGCCGATAAGTCTGCGTGACTTTGACACTTGTTTGGAGATATGTTCAGAAAATGATAAGTTATGTGAATATTTCAGCCCTAGGTCCGGTACAGATTCCAGTCGTTGAAGTGCATGGCCTTGAATTGTCAGGTCAAGTTCTAAATTGTTGCAACCTATGCAGAGCCAGCCACATTTTTCGACATTAAATTGGAGTTGCCAGGTGTCACACCATCTATCCATTTTTTCTAATTCTTGCTGTATGGCGTTTACTGTTATTCCAAGATCTGTGTTCTTGCATTTATACGTCACTTTTAAGTCATCTGCATATAGTATTGGTTGACATAGCGAAAGATATTGTCTGTTCTCAAAGTGCATACAGTCTTGATCTAAAGTGCTTTCCAAAGAGCATATCATACATTTGGAAAGCTTCTTATAATTAGGTTGGATAGGAATTCGAAAACATGTGAAATGATGCGTAACTCAAATAAGTAGTGGTAATTACCAATGTTTGAGAATGAATCCATACCAACAGGAATAGCTAATGGCTTTCCTGTTTTCATTTGTTCGCTGAATGTTATTTTACCACCAAAAGCGATGTGATTGAGAAGAATCCTCGTCTTTTTGAGCAATTCATCTTCTCTAATAGATGAAAACTGCGACAATTAAAGAAAATATTACGCACTTACATATAAAGATGCCCCATAGTAATGACTCAGAAAACGTATTGTCTTGCTAATTAGATTTTGTTGTTCACTACTGAATTCCTGTAGAAAAGCATATCGTTAATGATTTTACTTACCCTAAAAATGTCATATTTTGTCCCTAAGAATGTAAGAGGTAAGGGAAAAGGATTTAAAAGCTCTACATCTGGATGTGTTGATGAAATCCTTTTTCTCAAATTTTCATTCAGAGTATTCTGAATATGTGTTATGTTCTTTTGTCGAAGTCGACTA